GTAGCATCGGGGAGCCCCTGAGCCTCGGTAGCTCGGGGCATGTCTTCTTGCGCCCGGGCCTTAGCTAGCGTCGTTGATGTGGCAGGAGCCAAGGGCCAGGTCGAAGTGTTGTCATAGATCGAGAGCCTAGGGGCTCGGGCAAGCCCCTGAGCTCCAAGCGGAGGTCATGTCATAGTCAGGCTTGGTAAGGTTTCTTCTCCAGAGGGTGGGCGCGAGTGTACCCAATGGGTATAGTCCCCGACGCCCCGGGTGATCCTAGAGGGGTTGGTCGGGGGGTCTTCTTTGTTCAGGAACCACTGGACCCGAGGCTTAACATACCCATATGTGAGAATCTCGTCAGTTAGGCTTCCTTCTTCAGGTTCACATAATGGTGGAACCTAATAATAATGTGGTCTGGTTTTCCATCAGACCAATCAACCACTTTAACCTAGCCTATAGAAACCCAGATGTTGATGGTCACTAAACACCCAATTTGACCAACAACATTCCGCCCAAATCAAGGTAAAACAACATTACATGTGTCATATTATGTTTATAATTCACCTAGTTCCACTTGTACTATAAAAAAATATTTGTATGTAGGAAAAATCACAAAAATGGACAAAAGATGTACAAAGGACGCAATGGGACGTGGCAGGGGGCTGTGGGCCCACATGCCACATCACTAATCAATGTGAAGCCCTCCTCACTGCTTCTCCAACATTGATCCATGTCAATTTGATCCAAGGGATGACATTGATCTGCCACGGATCGCTGGGTCCACCATCATTCACTTGGGAGGCCTAAACCGACCTCCAAACCACCATTTTGGCCACGGCAACTGACGTACCTGCCATGCAACCGCCTCCAAAGGCCAACCATCATTGTTGGATGGCAAGGCATGGGATGGACAGTCGGCCGCCTCCCCTTGGCGGCGCCCGACTCCCAAGGCACCCTCCACCGCCTCATCTTCATCTACAAGTACCCCCATGCCCTCTACACATTATAAAAGGGGCTGTGGTGCTCGGTGGAGATCATCACTCAAGCAGCTCTCAAGCATTCCAAGTGTTTCAAGCTCTTAGAAGCTCTCCAAGAGTAGTAGCTTAGAGGTAGTAGCTAGCTAGTAGTGATAAAGTAGAGCATAGCTTGCCTCAGAGTGCGGAATAGTCTTCTGGTCTGGTATAGCTCCTTTGTAATCTTTCTTTTAGCATTTACTTTATTTAGTAGTTTACTTTGTTAAGTACTTTATTTAGTAATATAGCGCTTAGTTCAAGTCCTGTCTTACTCTTGTATATCATTAGTGAGCCTAGGTGCTTGTTCTCTGGCATCTGCATCATTATTATCTTAGTGTTTAGTTCATTCATCGTTAGTACTTGTTCTACCATCGGGTTAGGGTGTGTCGATCTTATTTCACCGGAGCTCGGATCGAAACAACGAGTTTATAGATTAAGCATGGTGCTTAGGCTATATATTGCCTGTATGTCTGGCTAGATCCTCGGATAGATTGTGGTAGTAGTTGGCGGTGGTGATAGCCCTATCCTTCCTCCTCTGTATTCCACCATATTGGGTCTAGTTATTAAAATGTAGGGCTCATAGTGCTCAGGTTCTGATTGAATTGAGGGCAAGTATGCCCCTCATACTAAAAAGACGTTCTCACTATCATTAATACTTTTTTTGTTGCTTTAAGATTACATACTCTACTTCTTACACTCAGCTACACTACACTTCTAGTTACTGCTATCTGTGTGATCAAAATCCTTTCTTATCTTTTCCGTCCATCATCCAAACTACCCTCATCACCCCCGTGTTGCTAGACATACTTACTTAGTCTACCTAACCACACAGTTCCCAACATGTCCTCCCTCCTTCCTTTGGGAAAATATAAATTGACACTTGGTTCTCACCAAGCGAAGTGCTACACAATAGTTCGTGCGCGCTTGTGGAATCGCCTTCCCTATATACACACATACGAGCTATCAACACCTACCCTATGGATGAAATCCCTTCATCCAAACCTTACTTCAGATTGACGTAATATCGGTTACCTAGATAACAACCCACCACCCCAATAGGACCAACCCATCTAGGATTGTCTCCTTTACTTTGATTGATTATGCTTGCTTGTTATTTTCCTTGTTTGTGTTTCCTTGTTTGTCGACGCTAGACCGCATAGGATAGAAGACATGGAGAGAACCGATGGAGTCCTCAAGACAGAGAGCAAAAGGCAGGGAATCGAGCAAGGATATAATCGTCGGTGAATGGAGGCAAGTCCTAACACCCACCTACCCTATCTCTCCACCATACAAGCCATCGCTAACCACCACCCTTCCCCACCACTACATTTTACTAGCCTCCACCATAAACCCTCCACCATCCTTCTCCACCAATTAATAAACTTAACTAATAATGCTTAAATCCTCATTGAGAATTAATGGAATTATAATAAATTATGAGGTTGATTATGACAATGTGAATAATCATGATATGGTAAATAGTTACCTTGATGTGATATGAGCTTTATGAACTTGAGGATAATAATTATGGAACCTAAAACTGGTAAAACTAGACTAAACCCCCGACAGGGATGAGTGAGGGGTAATTTGTGTAGGTACGCCTAGTGAGGGTTTAGTGAGGGTTCATGTTGGGAGATACTCACCTTGGTCCTTATGTGTACAAGTTACCTTGGTAGGTATGCCTAGTGAGGGTTCCTGTTGGGAGATACTCGCCTCGGTCACATAAGGACCGGTTCGTAGTCCCTCTCACCTAGTGAGATATTACGTACAACCGCATGTCTATATGGGTAGACTTGATCTCATACCCTGTTAGATTGAAGTATAATTTCTACTAGGAGGCCATTGTTGGCAGCGGAATATCAGGAAAAGACACAGACGCTGATCTTCTGTGGTCCGGTTGGCGTGGTTGCTATGTGATTCTCCACATTAAGCCCTTGGACTTGGCCACGTTCGAGCTCATATTATTACTATTATTTATTTTGATGATTTGGTATCATCGGCACTATTATATTGGGATGATTTGGTATCGTCCGAGATTGTATGATGGGATGATGTGGTATCATCCAGGATTATGAGACGGGATGATTTGGTATCCTCTCGAGATTAGTGTGTTTTTGCAACCCTGAGAAGCCACGGTAGAGTTATATGGAAATCTGAGGATGCGTCCCTTTGGGTACGAGGTCTCGTTAGGCCTGTCGCACCACTGGCCCTGGTGTCGACTACGCCTATCTTGTGGGGAAATTTGTACACCTCTGTAGAGTTTTCTAAATCTATTCAAATAGCCACGTCCTTGGAATGGACAGATGCTAGGATGAGATACTATGATTAGACTTCTATAACTGTGATAATCTGGTGAGACGAACTCTACTAATCTGTAACTATAATTAACTTTGGGAACTGGCAAGAATAGTAATACTCTGCCAGGGCCCAACCTATAATTATAATTACTTCACCGTACCACTTTTATAACCACCTCTACCACCTTACCCCCATCCACATATAGCCTTCCCCTTCCACCTCTTCTCCACCCAAAGTTTAGGGCTTGCTGAGTACTTTATGTACTCAAACCCCTCCATTCTACGTTTTTAGGAGTTAAGCTACAAGAGGATATACCTGGATGGAACTTCTGGAGCAATGCAAGGATAGGATACCCGGAGTATACTCGAAGACAGAGCCGTAGGAGAGAGCTATGCTAGGACTACGGCGATTTGGAAATAGGAGTACATTTAAGGAATAAGGCTTGGGTTACGTCCGCACTCCAAGCTACCTGTAGGAATGGACCCACCGTTGATATAGGACCGCTGCCTTAGAGCTCTGATATACGATAGAAGGTCAATGGCCCAAGCTATGTAACCCAAACCATGTAATGTGTCTTCCCCATTAGCAATAGAAGTATGGTTTTTGATATCAATCTTGTTCGAATTGTGCGTATCAGCTACTGATCTAGGGACTGATACATGATGCACAAAGGACCCTAAAATTAGGGGCTAGACACTGCCTCCATAAATCTATTTTCGGACGCGGGCATTTCCTGACCGCCTCCGTAAATAAAAAAGACTGTCTCCATTAATCGTCCGGTATTTTACGAGGCGTTTGGATTTTGTGACTACCTCGGTTAATAAAAGGGCACTTGTGTAGTAGTGACCGTGCCCGCCGGGGGCAGGCGGTACCCCAGCGAAGAAGACTGCGCCACGCCGGGAGCTCATGCCGAGGGCAGGCCACCGTGCCGGGCAGCCACCACGCCAGGCCCGCCTCACCGAGATCCTCGTGCCCGCGCCGGTGAAGAGACCACGCCGCAATGGGGGCACGCCGCCGTGCCGGGCAGGCAACCACGTGAGGCTTGCCGTGCCCGCGCTGGGGGCAGGCGGCCGCACTAGCGAAGAAGACCGCACCACGCTGCGCCGGGAGCTCATGCCGGGGCTTGACAGCCACACCGGGGGTGGGCCGCAGCGCGTGCGGGGCGGACAGTGCTCGACGAAGGAGAGAGAGAGAGAGAGAGGGGCGCGTGGTTGGGTCAAAATAGGTAGCCATCTGTTGGCCCAATTGAAGTAGGTAGTGGGAGGCGAAATTTTTTTGGCCAATAAATTTGGGTAGTCTGATAGATGCCTGCTGGCCTCCACCACCCAAATGTAGGATACGTAAGAATTAGTAAAATCTGACGATTCAACACCACTACCTAGTGTTCTTCATAGCAATGTACCATCAGAGTCAACGATTGTAAAAGTCTCTCTTGATTATTCGTTCGCCAATGGCACTATATATGCTGTAAGCAGTGTGCTATCGCCATTTGGCTATATACGTGACGAGCCCACGTCTGTGTCACTCTGTGCAAGTGGAGACAGAGACTGCCGCGAGTTGAACTACTCAAAGCCTGCAGGAACGACGAACGGGACCATTGACTTTAAGATTGCACGCCACTCATCATAGGAATCGATAAGAATGTATGAAGCCTCCACCACTGCCCCACAACTTACTAAGAGTTGATCACCGTTGGCACCAACGACCACCATGACTCCACGGCGCTTCTTCTTGGTCGCCCTTCTCACGGCGATCTCATTGTTCGCCAGAACAGCGCTGGTAGCTGTTAGCCAGGATTACACAGCTTCTTGGCCCTATTGCTCGACGACCGGCAACTACACCATGGCGAGCTCATACCAGGTGAACCTCGTCCAGCTCATGGCTGATCTCCAGGCGGGCGCCATAGACAACCGTGGGTTTAATGTGAGCATGGCAGGAAAGTCACCGGACACTGTCTTTGGCCTCATCATGTGCTATGCCGACCGCAGCTGGGATCAGTGCCAGAACTGCGTTCGAGCAGCGACCGCCGGGGTGCAGCAAACATGCCCGTTCAGCCGGGAGATGAAGGCCTGCTACAACGACGCCTGCGTCCTGAGGTACTCTGACAAGCCGTTCTTCTCTGTCGCCGATCTTAACGTGTCCTACTACGGATGGATATCTACCTATGTCACCGACATGGTAGGCATGAACGCCACGAGGTGGACGCTGATGAGCCGGCTCGTGGGAGAGGCATCCGGTTCGCCACTACGGCTGGCCAACAAGAGTGAGGTGTTCAAAGACTCTGATGGCAGCTCCCAGCTGATGTATGGGTTCGCGCAGTGCACAAGGGACCTCAACTCAAGCGAGTGCACCAGGTGCCTCACGCATTTGGTGGCGGAGCTGTCCAACTCCCGTCCAAACAACACCTACGGCGCTGTAAAAGGATACAGCTGCTACGTGGTGTACCAGATCGGGAGAGACCTGGGCATCATGCTTCCACCTTCACCGGCAGAGTCGCCGGAGCCCTCACCACCGCCACCGGTGACGACTCCTCCACAGCCAGAAGGTTAGCAACTTATTAATATATATGATATCTGCAAATATATTTTCAGTTCAGTGTTTCACGCAAACCTAATAATGGAACATCTGACGCCTGTATGTGTGCTTGTTTATTATAATGCAAAATTAAGCTACGTCGTCGCCTCACCACGGCCTCGACGGAAGGCTCATAGCCGGTGCAACTTTGGGTTCATTGGCTGCTGCCGTCGCCTTGGGCATCATGGTAGCGCTCTTTTGGCGACGCAGGAGAAAGGATACTGCACCGGAACAGGAACTAGGCGCTATGTTCGACGGTGAGCCACAAGAAGAGGAGTTTGAGAAAGGTGCAGGGCCCAAACGGTTCCACTACAGAGATCTGGCTATCGCCACCAGGCATTTCTCCCAAGAGGAGAAACTTGGAGAAGGGGGTTTTGGGTCTGTGTACCATGGTTACTTAAAGGATATGGATCTTCATGTCGCTATAAAAGAGTATCTAAGAACTCCAATCAGGGTAGGAAGGAATTCGAGTCCGAGGTGAAGATCATAAGCCGGCTGAGGCACCGCAACCTCGTGGAGCTCATCGGTTGGTGCCATGCTGGTGAAGAGCTCTTGCTTGTGTATGAACTTATGCCCAATGGAAGTCTTGATACTCATATTCACAACCCCAAAAAAGTATTGTCATGGCCGATCAGGTAGCACACTACTAGCTACTCCTGACCCAGTCCACTTTATACCACTTCCAGTGCTCTCTCAAAAACTAACTGTTTTTTTGTATGACTTTGTCTCATCTGTTATTTATATAGGCATGAGATGGTGCTTGGAGTTGGTTCAGCACTTCTGTACCTTCATCAGGATTGCCAGAAATGTGTTGTGCACCGTGACATCAAGCCGAGCAACATTATGCTAGATGCATCGTTCAACGCAAAGCTTGGTGATTTTGGGCTCGCGAGGCTCATCGACCACGGCAGGGGATCACACACGACCGTGCTCGCTGGCACGATTGGGTACATGGACCCAGAATGCATGGTCACGGGCAATACCAGCATTCAGTCTGATGTTTACAGCTTTGGCGTCGTCGTCCTCGAGATCACTTGCGGACGGCCGGCAACAATTGCCGATGTTAAAGGCACGACTATCCACCTGGTGCACTGGGTGTGGGAATTCTACAGTCGCGGAAGGATCCTCGATGCCGCCGATGCACGGCTCGACGGCGACTTCAACGCCGCGGAGATGGAGCTTGTGATGGTCACGGCACTCTGGTGCGCCCACCCAGACCGCACCCGGAGGCCCCCCATCCGTGAGGCTATGAACGTGCTCCTCCGCCTGGACGCACAGTTGCCAAGTCTCCCTGCAAAAATGCCGGTGGCGACATTCGAACCACCACAGTCGTTGTTGGACAACTCCATTTCTACGACCACCACGGGTTCCATCATCAGTGTGACTGAGACCTCTTGCTTGCTACGATGAGAAACATACACCGTCATAGACGGTCAAGTATCATTTATTTCTGGTATACCGCGCGCACTGCATGCTCTGTATAGTTCCTTAATAAAATGTCGTCTTCTATATATGGGATTGTTGTCACTCCTAGAAATGGATTGTTTCGTGTAAGCATATTGAAGCTCACAATTTTTTTTTTGTATGGTGGATACTTTGTTTAAGACAGTCCTTCTGTATTTCTTGTTTTCCCAATCAAACATCAGTTGGTATTTTTATTTTGTTTCATAGTTGAACGGTCCGCCAGTAAGTCCTTAGACCAACTCCAAGAGTCTTTTATATTATTCCTAATTGATAGAAATAGAGATTTTGGTGAAAAAAATACCCTGCATCAACGTCTTTAATTAGATCTCCATATATAGACATTCTCTATTCCAGATTTCTCACTAGCCAACGGTAGATAGTGGGTTGGCTCTCTAGAGTGCGCACAATATATGGAGATGAAGGATCAGAAACGGCGACCAGAGGGGGGGGGGGTTGAATGGGAGCCTCAAATTTCTTTCGAAATATTCAGCCGCTGTCCCAAAATCAAGCCCAAAAAACAAACGCACGCAAGAACGATGTATCCACAAGCCAACATGTGGCTAGGTACCTCCAGCGATGACCAAGAAGTACAGTGGGATACTCGAGAACCAATGGTAACAAGCCCACGATGGAAAGCGGAGAGAAGAGAACACTGCACAGGCCCGGGCAGTTTGGGGTATGCTCTCGGACAGTCCGGCATCAAAAATGGAGGAGACGGCTGACTGAAACCGCCCCTGCTCAGTGTTGAAACACGAACGGCAGACTGTCCGCGGTATGGTCCCGGACTGTCCAACGTTCAAAATTCCGAAAACGAACAGACAGAAATAGTTCTGGACACGGCTCGGGCAGCAGCAGTGGACTGTCCTCACCTGGGTGGCGGACTGTCCGCGCCTGGACTGAAACCGAGCAGGAAGTGAACGGTGGACTGTCTGAGGAAGAATCCCGGACTGTACGGCGTTCAAAACTCTGAAAACGAACTTGCTGAAATAGTTCTGGACACACTTCAACAGCAGCCCCGGACTGTCTGTGGGTAGGTGCGGACTGTCCGACATTCAGAGCAGCGAAAACCGACCAAAAGAAGACCTTCTGCTCGTGATGTGAACAGTAATAGAGGATTGTCCGAGGGTTAGGGGCGGACTGTACGCGGGTCACGAAATCAGCATGAATAAAGTCGCCAGAAAATCGCCCAGAGCAAGGAAAATCCCGATTTGTGGCCAAATCTCAACCAACTGCCACCAAATTTGAACCAAAGGGTCACAAGGCAGTGGGTGAGCTACTCCTAAGAGATCATCGCCCAATTTGAAGCCAATCGACGGAAAATCGGATGAATGCGAAAAAGCCGTTTTTCTCCCCAAAAGCTTGAATCGTCCCGATCTACGAACTCGTAAGGAATTAGATGAAATCCTTTGGTGGAAGGGATCAACTCACATCCTAGTCCATCTTAGATAAAAAAGAACGAATCAACACGCTCTCAAAACAACGAATTGAGCCAAGAAAGAAAAGGGGGAAAACAAGAATGGGAATCACAAAAGCATCTTACAAATCGAATCCCGGAGGACACCGGGAGGTTAGGGCCTTCATTCCCAACCAAAATCACAGGTTCAATTACACCGGGACACTAGTTCATCGGTGGACCTCTTGAGAAGAACCTAGAGGGGAAAACCTAGAGAGAGATGGTGGAAGAATGAAATGGCAAGAGGTGAGGGAGATTGAGGCTCCCTCATCCTTATTTATCTGAGCTATTACACAATCCCAAACACACCCTAGATATTTTGAGTCGAACCACTTAACCCGAGGGCGTTATGGTCCTACCTGAGATAGTCTTCATCCGACGGCCACCGAGCCCTTCATGAGATAGCTTCGCCTCGACGTGAACTCCTCGATGCTGCCACGTGCCGTCCGGTCCTCCTCGGAACCTTCGCCCGGGTTTTGAGGCCAAAACCTGCGAAACCGTCACCCGGTGGTTTTGAGGCTCAACCCACCAAACCGCCATGAGTAGCATATTCTATACGCGTCCCCCGCCACTCGACGCATGTCACCTCTGTCCTCGACCGCCCCGAGCGCCCAGTCTTCTAGAGCCTCACTCGAATTGCACGTCCACTGTCTTGACTCGGTCAACACGGTCACTCCTCCATGTACACTTGCGCTTGCCGATGTCCCCAGATGTCAGCCACCGCGGCTGGTCACCCGGTCCAAGCCTCACGTCCGCCCTTCACTGCTCCTGGTCCATCGACTTGGCACGTCCCTACTTGACCTTCACGTCACCGTCGACCACCGCTTCCGAGCTCCACACATGCGCACCACAAGCCAAGAGACATATTGCGCAATCCAACTCATGCCATGGTTAGTTCACAAACTCAACCCAAGACGTGAATCACGTTGACAATCACTCATCACAAATCTGAACCACAAGGGCACATATTAACCTTGTGTTCTAATCTCCCCATTGATGAGTGCATTGTCAACACCAACAAATGATAGTAGAGAGAAAGCGTTAAAGAAGAAGAGAAAACAAAGAACTCACCCAAATGACCAAAAGCCAATGAAAAGCCAAAATAGGTTCATTTGAAACGAGCAACACTTGCAAAACTTGGTCCCCAAAGACATTTGCAACGGCTCGACGCAACCAAGTAAAACATAGCTAGCCCTCAAGAAGTAGCAACGGGCTCAACACCACTAGCAAGGCTCAAAACACTAGAAAATTGCTAGACCCTCTAGAAAAGGCAAATGCTCAACACATCTAGTAAAAACAACTCAAGGTGCAACTCCCCCTGAACAAATGCAATCTCCCAAATGAATGCATGCACTCAACAAGCTCTCTCAGGACATTTCTCAAAACTCTCTCCCCCTTGTTGACACATGCACTTATCAAGCACTAAAAAACTATCACTCCCCCTCAGAATATGCTATGAATGCAAGGGGCGCAGAAGTGCAAAAGCTTTAGGAGTATAGCAATTAGATTGAAAAGATGCTCTAACTGGTGTTGTTATGTGTGTATAGCAACAAATACAAGTGCTAGCAAATGCTCAAACTGATCAAGTGAGACGAAATATGACACTTAAGCAATTTTGATCAAATTTAAGCAATTCAAGAAGGGGTTCACCACTCAAAGTAGCACATAGCAGGTATAAGCATGAAATCAACCTAGTGCTAACAAGTGTATACAAGGTGAACTACCCCAAGCAATGGTCACACATCATATCAAAGACAAACCTAAGACTTGTGTTTTCATCAAATTTTAAATTTAATTGGAGTTTGTAGCTTAACACAAGACTTAGTCAAAACATGTGTGTGGCCTAACTGAGCAACCATGCCAAGCCTATGTCGTAGACAATCAGAAGCTTAAGACAATGATTTCGGCATCCACTACAAGGCTCAAGTTCATCCAAATGTGCAATTGGAAGCCGTCTCGATACCTTGACGTAGGACAGTATAGACCCATCTCGATCTTTTCTCATCACTTAGCTTGCTTTTCAATTTTTAGCACAAGAATCTCCAAGTTGTCCAAGCAAGTGAGTAACTCAAAGCATGAGATGTAGTAACCTAGCATATAAGTGATAGCATCAGTGATCTCAACAAGTCCTACACATGGACGTAGTAACCTAGCATATAAGTGATAACATCAGAGATCTCAACAAGTCCTACACATGCTAGTAACCATCTCATAGCGGTGAACTAATTTCAAGTTTCAATAGTTGTTAATCATGTTCACAATTTAAAAACAGCTTAGCTCATAACATGCATCAATTGATCAAAAAGAGCCTAAGCCACAAGCACAATAAGTACATACAGAACATGCCAAATAAAGCATAGTTTCAATCTAACAGTTATAACCATGAAGCTCAAAATGCTCTAATATACATGATGTAATGCAATGCCATATGATATAGAAAACCAAAAAATAGAAGCTAAGCTACAAAGAAAACAAAACTACTATACAACACAAACGTTCCCCTCCTCTAAAAAGGGAAACAAACCCCAAGCTCCCCTCGCAAACACACAAATTGGGCTTGGTCAAGGGATTTGGTGAAGATATCTGTGAGCTGGTTTTGGGTGTCAATATGGTGCAGGTCAATATCCCCTTTCTCATAGTGGTGTCCCAAGAAGTGGAAGCAGACCTCTTTATGTTTGGTTTTTGAGTGGAGGACTGGGTTTTTGGCCACGCTTATGGCACTGGTGCTATCACAAAGCAAAGGCACTCACCTAAACTCTAAGCCATAGTCTCTCAGGGTAGCTATCATCTAAAGCAGTTGGGAGCAACAAGCAGTGGCAGCGACATATTTAGCTTCTGTAGTGGATTGGGCAACGCTAGACTGCTTGCGAGAGGACCAAGACACAAGAGAAGAACCAATAAATTGACAAGTCCACGACATGGACGTTCTCTCAATGCGACAGCCAACATAATCCACATCAGAATATCCGCAAAGAGAAAGAGAGGAGGAAGCCAAAAACCAAAGACCAAACTCAGGTTTGAAACAAGGGTACCTCATGATCCGCTTTATGGCTTGACGATGAGACATACGCGGCGAAAACTGAAAGCGCACACATAGACATACCGCGAACTAGATGTCCGGTCTCATCGCCATTAGGTAAAACAATGATCCAATCATGCTGCGGTACTCCTACTGGTCCATGGCTCCTCGTTCCTCATCAGCGTCCAGGGCCATCGCAGTCGACATGGGCATCGAAAGAGGCTTGGGCTCGCCCATATTGAACTTCTTTAGCAGGTCCTTGTTGTACTTGTCTTGGTGCATGAATGTTCCTTCTTGGGTTTGCTTGATTTGTAACCCGAGGAAGAAAGTTAATTCTCCCATCATGCTCATCTCAAATTCCCTGCTCATCGTATCTGAAAACTTGGCAATAAGAGCATGAGAAGAGCCATCAAAGATTATATCGTCCACATATATCTGAACCAAAAGGGTGTCAGTGCCTTGCTTGAGGAGGAA